GAAGATTTCAAATTCAGCCCCTAATGCGCGTGGTTCTCACGCACGGGCACATGATAAATTTGGAGGAAAAGTTGCTAACCCTGTAATCAGAAAAGCTGCAAGTTTGAAGTTTTAAGGTGATGTTTCCTGTCCAGGTACAATTAAAAATTTCAAATTCAGCCCCCCAGGTACGCGTGGCACTCGCGTACGAGCACGTGGAAGTTTTGGCGGGGAAATTGCTAACTTTGGAACCAGGAAAAATAAAAAGCTCAAATTTTAAGGGCGTACCTTCTGTCCACGTACCATTCAAAGATTCCAAATTGAGCTCTCAGATACGCTGAAGTCTGTTGTGCCCGCGCATGAAAATTATGACGTAAAATTTACTAACTTGTGAACCGAAAAGTTCTCACCCTCATCCAGATCGATGCTCAGTTATGCCTTAACTCGCTGACTTTTCTATTTTTAACCATACTCCGTTCATTTCAGGTGTCGTTTCGATGGGCGACGATGGCGGCTCGAATTATCCACGAGCATCCAGACAGTTCCACTGTTGGTATGCAACAGTTTCAAAGTCAAAAGCCTTCCGTACTTACGGTCTATGAAAAGCAGGCCCAGGATAGTTAATACCAAAAGCGATCACCAGCTTGCAAGGCTCTTATTGATATTCTCTTTTGAGGGTTGTTTACAAACAAGCTAATGGCAGGTTTGATTCCCTGGCATATGCCAGTACCAATTTATCATCAAAATGAACGAACGATTTCTGAAGAGATTGACGGTCCCTGCAAATTCATGAACAAAAATCAGAAAAGTGGAATTCCTTTTATGCTGTGGTTTTGTTGCTGATTCTGAAAAGAACTAATGAACTCTTACCGTGTGATAGAATTTTTATAACTCCAATAAAATTTGTATAACGTCTCACTCTTCCCTTCCCTCCGCTCCCTCGCCTTTCCACCTCTCCAACGAAAATTTGACTTTTTTTGTTGTTTATTGATTTTAACAATATTCTGAAAAAAGGCTTATGACATTTGCATAAACAGTTATTGGATAAACAGGAACAAAAACGGAGAGCATCACGCCAGGAAAAGAAACAGAAAGTGAAAACAGCATCTCCAGCAATGAGGATTTTGAGGTGTGTACAAGTACCACACGTATCTGCATCAAATTTTTATCTTTTTTTTCGAAATTTTGTCGACAATATTTAGCAAAATTTGTCAAGGAATTGCATCTTTTCCAAATTCTTGGAAAGTCATCAACTTTGAAATTTCGGTGTCCAACCGAATTCGAGAACATTAGATTCTAGATAATAATGATGCTAACAAGAAGTTGACAAAAACAAATTTTATTTTTATCCCATATATTACACTCAAATCCATATACCGATTAAATGACAGCTGAAATCTCGTACTGCCTAATCTTCTCGTTGCTGCTTTCGAAATGATATTTCGGAAATTGCATTGGACAGGTGGTTTGAAGATCAA